TATATATCAAAGTTAACGTGGAATCAGATAATCCATCAAACAATAATTAAACATGATAAAGGATATATCCACAATCTCAAAGTAAATATAAATCATAAAAATGTTCCCACTACTCCCCAGTGTTACAATCAGAGCAGGCACCAACTATATAGAAAAGATAAGAAGACTCTATCTTCAACTCACACCGAAGTCCTACTGCGCAGTATCTGCACATTGTCCACCTGGAGGCAATAATGAAACAGAAGGGGTGAGATATCATGATAATATAAAGGAAATCATGTTAAACTGTAAGCATCAGGTTAACACAGCAATAATTCAAATAAACATCTCACATTGATCAACCAACACTATTATCACCACTTATTCACCAACCAACAAGAGTTCACATGGTAATAATTAAGTACTCACACAACCCACATATTTAACAACATAGCCACATATATAATATCTATTGCAATGAGACTCACACCTGACTCAATGCTTATGAACGTGGTACCAATTTTCGTGAATACTCAAATTCACCGTTCTGATCCCCACCTCCTAGGACTAGAACCACACACTAATTCATCACTTCCAAATCAGCTACCGATCCAATTCACACAATGGGATTTTAGGCTCATCAACAAAGGAATATTTGTTCACAAATGTATGTAATGTGATTATCTATGCATACAACAACAATAAGATCATTGTGTATAATAATCCACCACCATAGTTATTGTACACCGTCCAATTTGGCCAACAAGTACAACATGTATTTCACACAGTATAAATATATATATATATATATATATATATATATATATATATATATATATATATATATATATATATATATATATATATATATATATATATATATATATATATATATATATATATATATATATATATATATATATATATATATATATATATATATATATATATATATATATATTATACAATTCACAACAACACCATCAACATGCTCATATTACACCAATAACACCACAATAACCTCTTTACAACAACATTCAAGTTTCATCACTTACAACATGATCTCTTAACATACACAACAGGTAATAGTCATATTCCTCAATATATTAGACATAAAAGTATTGAAAAAATGGATAATCTAATTATACCATGTTAAAGTTTGTTTGTTAGCTTTCCAACTTCTCAAACGGTTCGTAATTTGGATTAACGGTTAAAAAGTTATGATCGAAACTGTTCCTGCCTATGGGTCGATACAAGGGTCGACGTGCGGGGTGCACAGGTCGATGCAAGGCCCGTTCATCGATGCATACTGTTCTAATTTCCATAATATTACATTCGGATAGCATCAGGTCGACCCAGTGGATCCTGGAGGTTGATGCACGCTGTTCCGAATCCCAAAAATCATTTTTTTCTAAAAGCTATTTCACACCAGAGCCTATGCTACGAAAACCCATCAACATAGGCTCGATTTTACAATAAAATAACATTTTAAAACTCAATTATTCTTTGTTTTACTCATAGATTAACACCCTATCATCATCAATTCATACTTTCGACTCAGACCTTCAAAACTCAACAATGAAAAAAACTCATTGACAACAAAACAGATTATCACACAGTTGTGCAAACAACATTTTTGGCATATTGATCAATCAACCAAAGCATATCATAGAACAACCCACTATTCAACATACTAATCCTTAGAAGATCATAACTTCACCCTTACCTTAAATTGATGAGCTTTTTCCCTTCTCTAATGAAGTTCTTCCTCTTTCTTGCCCTAGCCTCTTTAAATTTTCAGCTCCAAATTCACGTACTATTAGAAATTGATTCCAATCTTTTCGAATTCCTTTATAAAATTCCTCAACTATGATTTTTCTCTTTTACCCTCACTCATCCTCATGCACTTACGATCACACCCTTCAATTCTCTACGCACTTAATCTCTCATTTTATTTTATTTCATTATTTTATTATTATTATTATTGATCACATCTAATTAAAATAATAATAATAATAATTCTCAATAATATTTAATTAAATTAATATTCACCTAATATTAAATAATTAACTAATTATCATTAATATATTATATTTAGTTTTACCTCTCATACCACCAATCTCTACTCAATGCTCACACACTTCTCCACCCTCAAGGTCTACTCTTAAGGTTACTACCTCACACCAAGGGCATCCTCAAACATAACAAAACACACATAATCACAATTATACATACAACTTCACGTGATTAAATTACGAAAAATAGTTTAAAATAAAATGGGACGTTACAGTTATTTTATCGATTTCCATGTTCAACCTCTTCCTCGTAGCATTCTTCTTCAGAACTCGAATTTTCAGCAACAATAGTATGATTGTTTCCACTCCGAGAAATCATATCTAGTTCCCTTCTTCTGTCTCTTCATTGACTCTGTTGTTATTGATATTGTTCACCTGAGTCATTAAAGTCATCATCTATTCGGTGAAAGCAGTTATGGTCGTCGTAAAAGCCATGATAATACCCTTAAGGTCTGTTTTAGTCAATAGTTGATCTCTCATGGCTAATCATGCTACGAAAAGCAACAGGAGAAAACCCGCTCTGATGCCACTTGACGCAAAAACACTAGGGAATAGAAAACGCTAAACCTAGAATGAGAACACATTATTGCAAGCGCAAAACCTATAAGATAAACTCTGAAATTCACCAGATAAAGAAAATACTGAGTTTTTATTAAATCAAAGATAATCCTGACAACCACTCCCAATAGTGTTTAAATACAAAAAATAATCTAATGGACTTTTAACCCAAAACAGAAATACAATAGAAAAAGAAACCCTAATGTGCTTTTAATTAAAAAAAATAGAAATTTGTGAAAAATATTAAAATTTTGTTTTTGGTCCTGAAACAATCTCAGATGGCTTAAAAAGCCTTCTTACATCAACACGCAGAGAAATAAAAAATTAGTGGGTCATATTAATTTTAACTTTTTCTTTGATAATTCTTCACATATCAATTAGAGGAAATGTGTTATTTATTTGCCACCTCACTCACTCTTATTCTTTTTTTTTTGCTTATTTATGTTTGGTTTCAAGGTTGTAGTTGATTTTGAATGTGTAAAATTTGTTCTGCACTAAAATTAGTGATGATTGGAAAAAGTGGATTCAAAGTCTGTTATGATGGTTTATAATATTTGATGTGGTGGTGAGAAAGCTGGTTTGCAAGGTTAACACTCCAACGCTCAAGTTAGTATGTGAGTGAAAAGTGGAGTTCCAATGAAAAATGATTTGAATACATGTGAAGTTGGATGTTTTCCTCTTTAAATAAAGAAGATGGTTGATAAATGCATGCATTTAAAGTTGCGTGGGATGCAGTTAGTCGTTGGATTAATCTAAACAATTAGCGTGATGTCTTCATGAGAGTTTACATGCAACACTTGTTACTTCATAATTGGGCATTCACTTTCTAGGTCTTACGGACGACCCGAAACAAAATTGATTTTGACATTTTGAGTTCCTCTTAAGTAGAATTAATTATGCTTTCTATTATTGATTCTACTTGAATATAATATTGGTATCTTTTGAGTTTAAACATGATTATTACACTGAAATTTACTGTCCAATTCATTTTGCAAAATTTTATCCAAACTTAAATCACTTTACCTTCAACATACTTTTAAGCATAATTTAATTTACATAATCAATTCACTTATAATCAATTTTTTTCAAAGCAAAATCAAAGACACACTTAATCACTCTAACCGATCAAACCGTTACTAAAAAACATAGATAATGTTTGACTTTTATTTAAACTAAATCTAAAATAACACTCGTGGATATATGATTGTGATGTTATGTCGCTCTGTGAAACTTTTTACATTAAAGATGCATAGAAATTAAATTACATAAGATATTATGAGATTAATTGTTATGCAGTGCCACAATGTAATTTACATGGCACAACCATCCATAAACATTATTATTCTAGGCCGACTAGAGGTTTAATGACGAAGAAGCTCAATAATTAGTATAAAGTCATAAGGTGTTGTTGAAGGTATAATACATCCACGACCTTGAGACTCGTACTTGATTAACGCCACATATAATTAATTCACTGTTGAATATTATTTAATAGTTCCTTCTATTCTAAGTTAGGAAGCATGAAACATCTCTAATTGTCCCTCGTATATAAGGTATCACACGCGAGATTTGATGCATGCTCTAACGATAATTTATCTATTTATCAGTCACTTAATGACTTGAACGTTAGAGTGTTAATCTTACGATAATTGTATCAAAAATTTACTTTGCCGCATTAAAACTTTATTCCATCACTTCACCTTACAATTTTATTTCCTAAGAAAACAATTACTTTAAATGTATTTGAAAGAAAAGTTTAATATAAATCAAGATTTAACGATTATAATTATTTGAGAGCTATTTACAATGTCGACCACTCGTAATATAGCGATTAAATTCATATTATAATATTAATAATATTAAAATACAATTCTTATTAACTTAATTAAACCAATTTAATAAGCCTAAAAAAAACTTTTTTAGTACTATTTGATAACACTTGACCTAGTCTAATAAATCTAACATATGCTAGAGGGTATGCACATAATTATTGGCCCCATAGTAATAAATTCCTTTGAAAAATATAAATCCTATGAAAAATGAAAGTTAAACTCAATTAAAAATGTCACATATATGAATGAAATGACACATGACCAATTTTCTGGTATTCCATTTTTACCAAAAGAGAAAGATTGTTCATTGTAATTTGTAACCAACAAGCTTCCACAACTTCTTCTTACTTTCTATTCAAACAAACTCTTAACATATTGCAACTCATTTCAAACACAAAGATCTATTTCAATTTCAATTTCAATTTCAAACCCCTTTCATTCCACCTTCACATTCATTCACAAAGATTTGAAATTTCACTGATTTAACAACTGGGTTTTTGAAATTGAAGCGGTTTCGTTGATGGGTTTTGAATAGTTTCGAAAACAGTGTTTTCCAATGCCGGAAAACGAACAGCATCGTCTTCTTGCTTCATCAGAAGATGCAGAACGAGACGTTGAAGCTCATGGATCCGAAGTTCTCGCTGCCACCGTCATTGGTGGTGGAAGCAGTGGTGGGAGTGGGAAAGGGTTCAGAGATTTCTTGAATATGTCAGGGCATCATCGCCATAGTTTTAAGCGTTTGGATAGAGATAGAGAAAGAGATCATTATGATAATGATGATGTTGTTGATATTAGTAATAATAATAATAATAATAATTCTCGTGATTCTCACTTTGATTTTGATCTTGATTCTTCTGGTGATGTTCTTACTGATAGTGCACCTCCTGAATGGGCTTTGTTGCTTCTTGGTTGTCTCCTTGGTCTTGCCACTGGTCTCCTTGTTGCTGTTTTCAATAAAGGGGTTTGTCAATTTTCAATCTTTTTGAATGTTTTGTTTTTGATTTGTCTATGTGATTTATATGTAGAAGAACATGTTTAGTTTTGTAAGTTGTTGTGTTGAAAATTAATGTGTCTGACTGAATGTTGAGATCTTAATGGTGTTAGGAGAAATGGTTACTAGTTAGTTACATTCTCAATGATCTAGATCTATTTATGAACCATAACACTCGTACCGGTAGTAATTTCAAGAAATAGAAGTGATTTGAGTGTAATCACTTGTGTCACGTGTCGGACACTGGACACGCCTTCAATGTAAAGTGTCAGTGCTATATAGATCCATATCCTATTTAAATTGTGTATATGTGAATATGATGAGTTTACAAGTTTCTATGCTACTAATGACATATGGTGACGCTATGGCGGATATACATGGTGTTTTTGGGCTTTCCGCAATGGTAAATATTGGCCGATATTGCGGGTTTTTCCGCCATTATTTGCTATAATGACGCCACAAAGCGTTCATTATGGTTGGATTTTGGCTCTTCGCCATGGACATTACTGAGATCCCACCTGGTGGGATTTCGTGCATTGGACCGCCCTCTTTGTGTAGTATTTTTAGAGAGCATAAGAATTTCTCTAATGTTGAAACTTAGAAGGTCTTTTATTCATAAGAAGTTGGGATGGCTTGGTAGTTAGATTACTCGTGGTTTATGTTATGGTCATTTGGTTTGGTGTTGTATAAGATGAAACCATAAGTGTCTAATTTCTTTGATCCATTAGAGTGCCATCTTGTTGAATGCAGTTTTTTTTTTGCCTGTGATTTGTTGTTAGCTTTGATCCTTTGTGGTAGTTTTCTACTCACATGTGCTTGTTGGTCCTACTTCCTCGTGTAATATATCTTTCTTTTGCAAGCAGCTAGTTATATTGCAAACATCAAGATCGAACGAATATGATATTGTATATCTCTGGCATGTCTACTTTGCACGATTTACTAGTAGAAATGAATCAATTGATCGAAACTATCACACATTCTCTTTTACCTACTAATCTTGTATAGTAAAATTTTCGCGTCTAGGTGCATGTAATACATGAATGGGTATGGGCTGGTACTCCGAACGAGGGCGCTGCATGGCTTCGTTTGCAGAGATTGGCTGATACATGGCATCGAATCCTTTTGATACCAGTCACCGGAGGAGTAATGGTTGGCATGATGTGTGGTTTACTAGAAATACTGGACCAAATAAAGCAGGCAAGTTATTCCCCTCGAAGACAAGGTTTTGACATGTTTGCCGGAATCTATCCAACGGTAAAAGCTATTCAGGCTGCTGTCACTTTGGGTACTGGCTGTTCATTGGGTCCTGAAGGTCCTAGTGTTGATATTGGAAAGTCGTGCGCCAATGGATTCTCATTAATGATGGAAAACAACAGAGAAAGGAAAATAGCACTTGTTGCAGCTGGTGCAGCAGCTGGAATTTCTTCAGGTGGCCTGACAATCTTGTTGATGCCACTATTTCCTCGAAACTTTTTGATGACAAAGGCTTAAAACCTTTTATGGCCATTAAACTCGGGTTTTCTTGTTTGGTTTTGGAGGAAAAGTTTATTTTGCAGTATTTTGGTTACCCTTAGGATTTCTAAATGTTGGTTGTTTTAGCTTTGCATTTTTCTTTCTTCAGGCTTCAATGCAGCAGTTGCTGGTTGTTTCTTCGCTATTGAAACTGTGCTAAGGCCTCTTCGTGCGGAGAATTCTCCTCCATTTACAACTGCCATGATTATATTGGCTTCTGTCATTTCGTCAACTGTATCAAATGTCATACAGGGAACCGAATCAGCTTTTACAGTGCCCGAGTACGAGTTGAAATCTGCCGCTGGTACTATTCTATAACTTTGCCGTGCTTTTCATGTGCATGGTTCAGGATTGTCATTATACAAATCCGTCTCATTTTGTTAATATTTGTAAAAAAAAGAACCTATGCCTCATTGTAATTCTTGCGTTTCGTGGGCTAATATTTCGTAAAGTATAGCAATACTGATTTTTTAACGATGTTTCGTATCTGAATCTTGGGCTAATATTTCATCATGATTTTGCATGCAGAGCTACCTTTATACCTGATATTGGGAATGCTTTGTGGTGTCGTAAGCGTGGCAATGACACGTTTGGTTGCTTGGTTCACCAAATTTTTTGAGGTTATCCAGGAGAAATTCGGCCTTCCAACTGTTGTCTGTCCTGCCCTAGGTGGTTTAGGAGCTGGAATCATTGCCCTCAAATATCCCGGAATATTATACTGGGGTTTCACAAACGTGGAAGAAATTCTACGTACCGGAAAGAGTGCTTCAGCTCCTGGAATATGGCTTCTGACTCAATTAGCAGGTGCTAAGGTTGTTGCAACAGCTCTTTGCAAAGGATCTGGGCTTGTAGGTGGTCTCTATGCACCGAGTTTAATGATTGGTGCTGCAGTTGGTGCCGTGTTCGGAGGCTTTGCCGCCGAAATTATCAACTCAGCAATTCCTGGAAATGCGGCTGTTGCTCAACCCCAAGCTTATGCTCTGGTAAGCCTACTTTACTCCCTTTGAAGCAGATCGCAGAAAATAGCGGTTTGTTCAAACTATTTTACCATACGTTGTTATAAATTGCGTATCACGGAGCAATAGAGGTCCTGTTAGAATTCCACTACGGTATAGCGGCGCTATAGTCGACTTCAAGCCTGATTTGGGTGATGTAAATATAGATAATTACAAGTTATTTTAACTTGTGCAGGTTGGAATGGCTGCTACACTAGCATCTGTTTGTAATGTTCCTTTGACTTCAGTTCTACTTCTGTTTGAGCTAACAAAAGATTACCGGATACTGCTTCCTCTCATGGTAATCCCGACACGGTTCCATTGTGTCATTAATGGTTACCATATCTTTTATTAACATTAGAATTTCTTATGTTTAATTGATGTTTTCGACTTATATGTTTGCGAAACTTCTCAGGGGGCTGTTGGATTGGCAATTTGGGTCCCGTCAGTGACAAACCAAGCGAAGGAGAGTGATATACCTGATAAAAGAAGTTTGTCAAGAGGATATTCTTCAATTTCGCGTTCTGAAGATAATGACGATGGCAACGGTTTAGAACTCTGTATTGTTGGAGATGGTTCCGAGCTTGAAGAAATCGATGAAGAACTATTTTTGGACAATCTAAAGGTTGAGACTTTAATTGGTTTAGAACTCTGGAAAATAGCAGTTTGTTCAAATTTCACTACAGTGCTATAGTGCTGCTATAACGACTATTTGACGGCACTATGTACTAAACCGCGTATTGTGGACTAATAAATAACAGTTTGTTAAAGTTCCGCAATGTTGCGCCACTGTTTTTAATGTCGTTATTCCTCTTGTCAGGTTTCTCAGGCCATGTCAAAATACTATCTGAAGGTTCCATCATCTGAAACACTAAAAGACGCAATCAAAATCATGCATGACAGCCAGCAAAATTGTATACTCGTGGTCGACGAAGATGATTTTCTAGAAGGAATACTGACATATGGTGACATCAGAAGGTGTCGATCCGAGAAGTCTAACGATGCTTCTATGAGCGACTCCGATCTTTTGGATGTATGTAGAAAGCGCCCCTCATCTTTATAGTTTGCTGCCAGTTTCTTCTAATAACAGTTTATATTCAATATTTAACAGGTGAACACATTGCTTGTTTCTTCTGTTTGTACTCGAGGAATGAACTATCGTGGACGACCTCGCGGACTTTTAACTTGTTATCCAAACACTACTTTGGCCATGGCCAGAGAGTTAATGGAGGCCAAGGGCGTTAAGCAATTACCAGTAGTAAAACGCGGTAGAGATCATCACAATAGAGAGAGGAAGCGAAGAATCGTTGGTCTTCTTCATTACGACGAACTTTGGCACTGTCTCAGGTTTTCTTTAAATCTGATACTATATCTATATACTAAAATATCTGATACTTAATTTATAAAGCACGAGCACAGACACCTGACACGACACCGACACTGACATGTTGACACCAACACTGAACATAATTACAAGTGTCAGTGTCCGACACACACGAGCACATCTTTCAGAGGTGTCGGTGCTACAGTGTTTGGAATCAAGGACTCTTGGTTGATGGTATATTTGTTGATGTGCAGGAAAGAGATTAACCACAGGAAGTTAGCATATCAAAGTAGGACAGAAATCAATTTGACAAATGGGCATTAACTGTTACAAAAGAAATAGTGAGTTTGTTGTAGCAACAAAAGCATCTTTTGTTAGCTTTTGTTGGTTTTAAATGTGAGAGACCATGTATATGTTAATGCCACAAAAGTGGTTATTTTGATAAGGAAGAAAAATATTTCCAATCCCAAAACCTCATATTCTTGTAAAGTAAACTCCATAAGAGCAGAACACTAGTACTCAATGTTTACTCCTATGACTGAATGAGATATTTAAATATAAAATGAATAACAATAATATAAATTCAATTTGACATTTGAAATAAAAAATTTGTGTCTCAATTATTAATTTAAAAAATAGGTATTTTGCTGATAGTGGTCTGTGAAAAAAAATAAAAATTTTGACATTTGAAAATAAGAATTTTGTGTCTTAAATAAAAATAATTATTAATTAAAATAAAATATGTATTTTATTGATAGTGAAATGTGAGAAAAATAGAAATTTTGACATTTGAAAATAAAAATTTTATGTCTTAAATTAAGACAATTGTTAATTAAAATGAAATAGGTATTTTATTAATAGTGACCCGTGAGAAAAATAGAAAATTTTAACATTAAAAATATGAATTATGTATCTCATTCAAAGATAATTGTTATTAAAATAAAATAATAAAATAAGTATTTTGCAGTGACCCATGAGAAAAATAAAAATTTTAATATTTTAAAATAAGAATTTCGCGTCTCAAATAAAGATAATTATTAATTAAAATAAATAGATATTTTGTTGACAGTGACCCATAAAAAAAATTAATATTTGAAAATAATTTTTTTAATAATTATGAATAATTTTTTAATATTCATAAAATAATTATGTTTTTTATTGAGTCAGTTTTTATGTGTTCCTATTCGTTAAATTAAAAAGATTAAATTTATTTATGTTTAAAAAAATAAAAAGGGAAAGAGAAAATGGAGAGAGAAAAAGTTAAAAATAAAAGTGAAAAAATATAAGTTTTTATATGTTCCTCTTCGTTTAATTAAAAAGATTAAATTTATTTAATTAGTCATGTTTAAAAAAATAAAAAAGAAAAGAGAAAATGGAGAGAGAAAAAGTTAAAAGTAAAAGTGAAAAAAATGTAAGAAAGAAAAAAGATGTGTGAAAGAGTGAAAAAAATGTAAGAAAGAAAAAAGATGTGTGAAAGAGTGAAAAGTAGAGAAAAAAAAAATGAAAGTTTAAAAAAATATCAAATAAGAATTTGATACTCGGTAGCATTTAGCTGAAATAAGATAAATTAATTGAGGGATTATATTTTTATTATTTTAACCTTTTGTAAGTGTTAAAAAATTTAAAATGAAAGATATTAATAGTAGTTTGCATGTATGTTCTTTTAATGAATATATAGTTGGTAGTTGATAGAAATGAAAATGATATACTTAAAGAATCAACGATAATTCTTTGAAATCTTTCAACTGCAAGCGATTTTTAGATTTTTAGTGTTCCACCTCTTAATTTTTAGATTTTTAGATTTTTAGTGTTCCACCTCTTAATTTTAGATTGCTCAAAATCTTTCAACTGCATTCTTTTGTCAATTTCATGGTCTCTTGAGATTTCTTTACAATAGGATATTTATTTCTATTTAAAACTTCATTTTTGATCCTTAAACCATCTTAAATTATCCATAAACTTTGCCCCACTAGTATAACATATTCCTTTTCTTAGAGGTAGTAAAAGTACTAGGATAATACATTGGGCATGAGTGACAATTATCATTTTTTGTGTGCGGCGTAGTGATATAATTGAAAGCAACATTAAGGTGAGACAAAAGTTATATGTTTAGCCCATCGTCTTTACCAAGTTGCTCTTTTATTAATTTGAGTGTCTCCTTTTGGATACAACGCTCCTTTTTCGAATACGTTGTCCAAACCTCTAATGTCTCCATCCATAACACACAATCGCGTGTATTGGATCAACAAATGTCACATATGAAGTCGTGAGATTTAACTACACCTCATAGATTTCAGGAAACCAACCACCCATTCCGAAAGTAGATGCTACATTTTGGAAAGACTCAATTTCAGGCCCCTAGGACTATAAATACATCAATATTGTGATATTTAAGGATAACTATAACACAAAGAAAATACACATATACAATAGATTCTCCCCTCACATGATCTAACTCTCAATACCACAACAATCACAAACCCTTTGACAACCGTCATTCACTAGGGATTATTACACACTTGTACTTTTAGCGAGTATAATTACCACCCACCGACCTCGGTAAAAATAACATCGACCACACATATCATTTATTCACGGTTCCTTTCACCATCGTCTCACGGGGATGTTCAAGCTAAGTTCCAAAAAGATCACTAACACCATCACTGGAGGTTTTTACACGGGGATGTACACCTGACAGGTGTTAACAACCGTCATCACACCTGTAAAAGCCCTTAGTGTCTCTAGATGTGACTGGGAGCCCAAAATCAACTTTTCATAGAAGATGCAATCGACTCACTTCCCACAATAATGATCTCATAACTATTATGATTCAGTATGCTAAATGAATGTGAAACAAGTGATAATCGACTATATCATCTTAGCATACATTCCGTTATAGAGTGTCTTTCAGGGCTCCAGCTGGATCATTATAGTAGTGGATCTTTCCAAGGGTTTCTAGTCAGCCTGCCAAGCGATCAAGTGCAGGTTAAAGGTTACATCATCTTCAAAACAAAATTCAGCTTAGGGTGAGTGCCACAATTATCATCTTGTAGTAAATGCCACATCCCCCTACAACGTCATCCTAGGAAAGTCCATTCTAAATTTGTTGGGGGCGGTCTTGTCCACCATCCACTTAAGCCTAAGATATTCAGATGGAATCAAACGATCACCTAAGAACTTTAGCTAAGTATTCTGGAAGTAACGAGTGAACCTATCACCCTGGGTGCCATCCTTCATCCTGAAATGTATGACGCAGATACAACAAGCTGAGACCCAAGGTTGGGGGTAGAAAGTAAAAGGCTTACCCCAATCGAAGATTTGAAAGAGGTCAAGATTGGGCCTCTATATCACCAAGTCACTAAGTTGGACACCTCATTACTCGAATTTTAAAAATAAGATTTGATCATCCTACTCAGGAAGAACATCGACCTGTTCGCTTAAACGCCCTTAGATATCCTTGTCGTAGATACCAGAGTGGTGTGTCAGCGTATTACAATAGACTCCTCAATTAAGTCAGTGTCTCAAAGAAAGCGCAATGTTGGTGAGGAGAAGAGAACAACCATATGTCAATTTCATAACAAAGTTCAAATACCTTTCATGGATGGCTAATATGGTTTTGGTGAGAAATGAATCAAACAAGTGGGATATGCGTGTTGATTTCACCGACCTCAATTCCTCACGTCCCATAGATCCATATCCTCTCCCCAACATAGATCCTCTGATTGAAATACCTTTGGGTAGTAAAATATTGAGTTTAATGGACGCATATTCAAGGTACAGTCAGATTAATATGGATTCCATAGACGCACCCAAGACGATGTTCAAGTCCAACCATTGTAATTACTACTACAACGTCATGCATTTTAGGCTTAAGAACGCAACACTAACTATTATAGGCTCATGGACGCAATGCTCTCATATAAAATAGGACACAACTTGGAGGTTTACATTGATGACATGAATGTAAAGACATTAAAAAGGAAGAGTCATGCAGTAAATTTAAAAGATATCCAGGGATCATTTATGAGTTACAACATGCACATGAATTCGGTCAAGGGCTCATTTGGAGTTCAAGTAGGAAAATTCTTGGATTTTATGCTCACAAAAAGAGGCATAATGGCAAACCTAGAGAAATGCCAAGCCATCATAGACATGAAAATTCCTTCAAATGTCAAGGAGGTTCAACAACTAACTGGGCGTTTAGATGCCCTATCTTGTTTTCTTTCTTGTGCAAGTAACAAGGCTTCCCATTTCTTTTCCACGTTAAAGGTTAAAATGGATGGATGAATGTGATTTGGAATTCTTAAAGTTGAAGGAGTTCTTAGCATCACCGCCTATCTTGACATGCTCAATAGTAAGCTTACATTTATATCTCTACTTGTCTATTACTAACTTGGTGTTAAGCTCAGTACTTGTCCAAGAAACACATAAAATGGAATGATATGTCTATTTTGTGAGAAACATTTTCAAGGTATTTGAGGCTCATTATCAAAATATAGCAGGCTCACATTGGCGGCAGTGTTGACCACAAGAGATTCCAGGCCTTATATTTCAGTGACATCAGATATTGGCAAAATCAGAGTATCCCATATGCCAAGTCCTCAAGATGCTAGATCTGGTTGGAAGAATGCTATATTGGGCAATCGATATGTCTGAATACAACATCTAGTATATTTATAGAGGAAACACCAAGTAACAAGTCCTGACCTCTTTTCTAGAAGAGTTTAGCACGCCAATTGGCGAGGAGATTTCCCCTGCTTGGATCCTTTTGGTGGATAAAGCCACTAACATTAAGGGAATGGCATTGGGATAGAGCTTGAAGAACTACATAAATTGTTAATTAAGTAGTCACTAAAGTTTAAATTCAAGGCTAACACTAACCAATCTGAATACAAAGCCCTCATTGCAGGCATGCCCCACACCTTAGAAGTAGGCTCATCGACTCTAAAATCCAAGAGCGACTCACACCTAGTAGAGAAGCAAGTCTCCAACAATTACTATGCGAAGGAAACACAACTCATCATATATTTGAAGAAGGTACGTGACTTATCTGAGCACTTTAAAACGTTTGAGATAATGCATGTGTCCAAAGAACACAACTTCAGGGAAAACCTATTGTTCAAGCTGGAAAATTCACAGAAAGTAGGGTTCAACTAGACTATATTACAAGAAAATCTTTCCATCTCGAGCATAGAGGTGGGGGAGGAAAACACTATCGATATCGATATCGCCTGATTGGGTGTTGGATGACACTTATAATTCATTATTTAGAGTTAGGCGAGTTACCATAAGCATGTTACAAAATATATTCTTTATATCGTGGA